ATTCCGCTAATAACAGCGCTAAAATCCATCCCTTGCCAACAGCGCACAGGATAGAATACAATATTATAAATAGCTGCAGTCATTTAGTTCATCTACGTAGTCCAGGTAGTGAAAGTTGAACTAGTTTAACTAGCTTTACTAAGCAAATATGTGTATTCCTGAAGTAATTCGGTTAAACACTTAAGCCCTTTCCACTTGTCAAACATAAGGAGAGGAAATTTTACAGCTGAACAGTTGACTGACAGCAACATGTTATGCCATTCATCCATTTGTCAGTTGGTCTGTCATCTAGCTGGGAGATTTTCAAAAGAGCTGGCTAACTTGTTCAGTGTCAACAGAAGGAATTGAACTGGACAAACATTTGTTGAACTGATGCAATTGTATTATAACCCAGGAGGGATATGATCGGCTGATTTTAATGATTAGCTTGTATGATAGTTTTGAAAAACGGACAGAATTCACCAGTCCTATTGATCCCATGTATCTACTCCTCACGATGGAAGCGGAACTCCAGGGAACGGGATTTCCAAAAATTATACGACTTTTCTGGATAAAATTTTTCCTTTTTTGAAGTTACTGGAACATTATTTGTAAAAGATTTTACTTTTACAAAAATTAGCCTTAAATATCAGTTTAGCCTGTTGCCATTTCTGCATTTGTAACTTCCGACAGACATCTGCATAAAACCAACAACTAAGCAGTATTTATTTTTTTATTTCTCCGTAGATCTACGACTGAGTAAGCATTGGAAATATGAGGGAAGCACGGATTGCTTCCAGATTTCCCCAACATAGATAAATTTGTGAACTGACCTTTAAAATACATATTGTCAACATCCTTGTCACCACTACCTCTCACCCCGCTCCCCAAAGCCCTCCCCTCCGCTTTTTTATCTTTGACATTTATAATAGTCATCATGAAATTCACTGTAACGCTTGAAGTGGAGGCAGTACCTCCCATGAATTCGAAGGTATCGGCCTCTTAACAGCCAGAGTAAATTAAGTATTTTACAAATTATCTGTGATATCTAGGTGCCCTTCAAATGGCCATATTGTTCCTGTTAAGTATACATTATGCACAACATCTAAAATCCTAAACGAAAAACCTTTTCTTTTGTAACAAGAACGCACATACATATCTTCGTGTAGAAGTACAACTGCGCAGTTGACTGTAAAGTAAAAATGAGAATGGGGATGAAGAAGATCCGTTCAATAATCCCTGTGATAGGCAGGCTCCTTTCGCCAATTTTCCTATCAACCAACCTTGACCGACGTTATCATGGCAGACCACCACCTAGCTACAAGATTGCGGTATTATTTCCACTAGATGCTGGCCAGACACGCGAGAGTGTAGAAAACAACGCTACTGGTGGGTTGTTAATTTGGAGTTGGCGTTGAAAATTCTGATCGTTAACCCGCCATTCGGACAAGGGTTTGTTACCAGTTACGGTAAATCGCGTGGCATATCAAGGGGTGTGTTGATTTCTCCATGAAGTGGGGAAAAGTTATAGAGCCTGGGCTTTAGCCAACTAGGGAAAGCGAATTTCACGGCCTGATCGGACCTCCTTAATATGCCGGTATTTGTATTTGCTAAAAGATGAAAAGCAGGGTCTTGAAGGGCACTCTGAAATGTGTTATCGAAGAGAGAATCTCATTTAGTCTGTAAGACAATACATAATCCCGAATTGTAACGAGGATACACCCAAGGTGGTGAAACGATTTTATGATCTGGGAAAACTAAACAAAACAAAGCAAAAAGCTCTTAAGGTGTCATCTTTCTTGCTAAAATAATTAGTCCACTGAAAGATTCAGATTCCTTGCAGCTTCTAATCACACTTTCCACTTGTTTTCCTACTGCGATATTTTGGCAACAGGAAAAGCCATTTTAAAGTCCGGCAAACCCAACCCACCAGCTATGCAAATCGCCCCATCTGTTAAAGGCGTGAACAATAAAGATAAGTTTAATAAAAGGTAAAAATGCCTGTCAAGGTTTCTTTCATTTAGAAGATAAAAAGCCACATCAATATGTTTAGATTTTGCGTAGGCAGTGCATTTTTGTATGCTTACGGAGGCGTCAACCCTAAAAGGAGAGACTGCATTCAAAAGGCATGTCATTTATTGCATTTATCTAGTAAACTTTCTAGCAAAGTTTTATTAGCACTTGAAATAATGTTTAATTTAACATTACAGTAAATGATTGCTGAGAATTTTGACAATAATCTCTCTAAAAAGTGCCAATTAATTGTCCCATAGATCAATCAACTGTCATTACAAAGGTCTATTGATCGAAATCAGTCAAATGGCTGCAGGTATGGATTCTTCTTGTGGCACCTTGAGGCCTCCCTCAAGACCTAAGGAGCCACAATACTCGGGCAGAATATGTGTCCTCAAAGGACAGTAGGGTCAGGAGACTACTGCCATGGTCTGGAGGCCAAACAGCTAGGCAAAGGTACAATGGCAGAGTCTTCAGGTAGTCTGTTATCAAAACCGAGAGGTAAACAAATAATTAATGCATTACACTTAGCATCATTCAATCATTTTGATTCTTTAACAATAAAATTTCCGTTACAGCGAAAGTAATCAAACTGTTTATCGTGTAGTTAATCAGTACTAGGAGGCATGTTTGCCTACCCAGGCTGTGCTGTACCGGGGCAAGTTAATATTTGCATTATGTGTAATGAAGTCTTCTAAAGCTTTGGTGGAACGCCCGGACAAAACTTCCACTGCTTATCTTTCGGTTTAAACACTCTAGGGAGGTAAAAGTAAATAGCACACAATCCTCGCTCCTTTCGTAGGTATTTCGTCTCAGTCATCGTAGCCTTTGTAAATAAACGAACGAGTTACTAAGCTGTTCCCTAGGTGAGTGATCTGTATGGGAGAGTGTTCGGATCCAGAGACTGTACATTTAGCTGTCTCCCTATTACTACCATCATCACCCACACAACGGAAGCGATGGCTCTTAAATGTATGCCTTTACTTCAGCGTCATTCTATCTCTCCCCTCCCCTCAATTGGACACCTGAAAAGTAGGGTCACATGGGCTCAATATACTTGGCGTCCTCTACTCCATAGTCTGGAGTCAATCTCCTCCTCCTCCTCCCCTCCTCCTTAGCTTTACTAAGCAAATATGTGTATTCCTGAAGTAATTCGGTTAAACACTTAAGCCCTTTCCACTTGTCAAACATAAGGAGAGGAAATTTTACAGCTGAACAGTTGACTGACAGCAACATGTTATGCCATTCATCCATTTGTCAGTTGGTCTGTCATCTAGCTGGGAGATTTTCAAAAGAGCTGGCTAACTTGTTCAGTGTCAACAGAAGGAATTGAACTGGACAAACATTTGTTGAACTGATGCAATTGTATTATAACCCAGGAGGGATATGATCGGCTGATTTTAATGATTAGCTTGTATGATAGTTTTGAAAAACGGACAGAATTCACCAGTCCTATTGATCCCATGTATCTACTCCTCACGATGGAAGCGGAACTCCAGGGAACGGGATTTCCAAAAATTATACGACTTTTCTGGATAAAATTTTTCCTTTTTTGAAGTTACTGGAACATTATTTGTAAAAGATTTTACTTTTACAAAAATTAGCCTTAAATATCAGTTTAGCCTGTTGCCATTTCTGCATTTGTAACTTCCGACAGACATCTGCATAAAACCAACAACTAAGCAGTATTTATTTTTTTATTTCTCCGTAGATCTACGACTGAGTAAGCATTGGAAATATGAGGGAAGCACGGATTGCTTCCAGATTTCCCCAACATAGATAAATTTGTGAACTGACCTTTAAAATACATATTGTCAACATCCTTGTCACCACTACCTCTCACCCCGCTCCCCAAAGCCCTCCCCTCCGCTTTTTTATCTTTGACATTTATAATAGTCATCATGAAATTCACTGTAACGCTTGAAGTGGAGGCAGTACCTCCCATGAATTCGAAGGTATCGGCCTCTTAACAGCCAGAGTAAATTAAGTATTTTACAAATTATCTGTGATATCTAGGTGCCCTTCAAATGGCCATATTGTTCCTGTTAAGTATACATTATGCACAACATCTAAAATCCTAAACGAAAAACCTTTTCTTTTGTAACAAGAACGCACATACATATCTTCGTGTAGAAGTACAACTGCGCAGTTGACTGTAAAGTAAAAATGAGAATGGGGATGAAGAAGATCCGTTCAATAATCCCTGTGATAGGCAGGCTCCTTTCGCCAATTTTCCTATCAACCAACCTTGACCGACGTTATCATGGCAGACCACCACCTAGCTACAAGATTGCGGTATTATTTCCACTAGATGCTGGCCAGACACGCGAGAGTGTAGAAAACAACGCTACTGGTGGGTTGTTAATTTGGAGTTGGCGTTGAAAATTCTGATCGTTAACCCGCCATTCGGACAAGGGTTTGTTACCAGTTACGGTAAATCGCGTGGCATATCAAGGGGTGTGTTGATTTCTCCATGAAGTGGGGAAAAGTTATAGAGCCTGGGCTTTAGCCAACTAGGGAAAGCGAATTTCACGGCCTGATCGGACCTCCTTAATATGCCGGTATTTGTATTTGCTAAAAGATGAAAAGCAGGGTCTTGAAGGGCACTCTGAAATGTGTTATCGAAGAGAGAATCTCATTTAGTCTGTAAGACAATACATAATCCCGAATTGTAACGAGGATACACCCAAGGTGGTGAAACGATTTTATGATCTGGGAAAACTAAACAAAACAAAGCAAAAAGCTCTTAAGGTGTCATCTTTCTTGCTAAAATAATTAGTCCACTGAAAGATTCAGATTCCTTGCAGCTTCTAATCACACTTTCCACTTGTTTTCCTACTGCGATATTTTGGCAACAGGAAAAGCCATTTTAAAGTCCGGCAAACCCAACCCACCAGCTATGCAAATCGCCCCATCTGTTAAAGGCGTGAACAATAAAGATAAGTTTAATAAAAGGTAAAAATGCCTGTCAAGGTTTCTTTCATTTAGAAGATAAAAAGCCACATCAATATGTTTAGATTTTGCGTAGGCAGTGCATTTTTGTATGCTTACGGAGGCGTCAACCCTAAAAGGAGAGACTGCATTCAAAAGGCATGTCATTTATTGCATTTATCTAGTAAACTTTCTAGCAAAGTTTTATTAGCACTTGAAATAATGTTTAATTTAACATTACAGTAAATGATTGCTGAGAATTTTGACAATAATCTCTCTAAAAAGTGCCAATTAATTGTCCCATAGATCAATCAACTGTCATTACAAAGGTCTATTGATCGAAATCAGTCAAATGGCTGCAGGTATGGATTCTTCTTGTGGCACCTTGAGGCCTCCCTCAAGACCTAAGGAGCCACAATACTCGGGCAGAATATGTGTCCTCAAAGGACAGTAGGGTCAGGAGACTACTGCCATGGTCTGGAGGCCAAACAGCTAGGCAAAGGTACAATGGCAGAGTCTTCAGGTAGTCTGTTATCAAAACCGAGAGGTAAACAAATAATTAATGCATTACACTTAGCATCATTCAATCATTTTGATTCTTTAACAATAAAATTTCCGTTACAGCGAAAGTAATCAAACTGTTTATCGTGTAGTTAATCAGTACTAGGAGGCATGTTTGCCTACCCAGGCTGTGCTGTACCGGGGCAAGTTAATATTTGCATTATGTGTAATGAAGTCTTCTAAAGCTTTGGTGGAACGCCCGGACAAAACTTCCACTGCTTATCTTTCGGTTTAAACACTCTAGGGAGGTAAAAGTAAATAGCACACAATCCTCGCTCCTTTCGTAGGTATTTCGTCTCAGTCATCGTAGCCTTTGTAAATAAACGAACGAGTTACTAAGCTGTTCCCTAGGTGAGTGATCTGTATGGGAGAGTGTTCGGATCCAGAGACTGTACATTTAGCTGTCTCCCTATTACTACCATCATCACCCACACAACGGAAGCGATGGCTCTTAAATGTATGCCTTTACTTCAGCGTCATTCTATCTCTCCCCTCCCCTCAATTGGACACCTGAAAAGTAGGGTCACATGGGCTCAATATACTTGGCGTCCTCTACTCCATAGTCTGGAGTCAATCTCCTCCTCCTCCTCCCCTCCTCCT